ACACGAGGGACCATGATGGCAGCTGCAACTCTCAGGCAGAACCCACTGCAGAAATAATGCTTCCCCTCTAGAGCAGGATGGCCAGGATGGAAGCCCGCTTCCTGAATCAGAGCATCAGCTCTTGTCCCCCTTCCCAGGTCCACCTCCCTCCAGAACTTTGGAAGAAGTCATTCCTGAGTCTTAATAAGCAGACCCTACCTTACCAAAGACTACAGGAGTTGTCCAGGTTAAGCGCTGTACAGGTGGCATCCTGTATGGGAACTCTGACTGGAGTCCTGGCTGCTCTGCTTCTGATCCAGCTCCATCACTATGCCTGAGACAGCAGTCCAAGACGGCCCAAGTACTTTTGCTGCTATCCATGTGGAAGATTGGATGGAGTTTCAGGATTCTGGTTTTGGTCTGGCACCGCCATCACTGTTACAGCCATTTGAGGAGTAAACCAGTGGATGGAAGATTCTCCCTCATTTTGCCTTTTAGATAAATAAATCTTTTTTTTTTTAAAGATTTATTTTTATTATTTTTTCATTGGAAAGGCGGATATACAGAGAGGAGAGACAGAGAGGAAGATCTTCCGTCCGATGATTCACTCCCCAAGTGAGCACAACGGGCCGATACTATGCCGATCCGAAGCCAGGAGCCTCTTCCGGGTCTCCCACACAAGTGCAGGGTCCCAAAGGTTTTGGGCCGTCCTCGACTGCCTTCCCAGGCCACAGGCAGGGAGCTGGAAGGGAAGCGGGGCTGCCGGGGATAGAACCGGCGCCCATATGGGATCCCGGGCGTGCAAGGCGAGGACCTTTAACCACTTGCGCCACCGCGCCAGGCCCGATAAATAAATCTTTAAAAACCAGGGGATGAATGGAGTCTGAAATTCTACCATGACTGTGTCACTCTTTAATTTTAAATTTATTTTTATTTTAAGACATATTTTACACAGAGAGGAGAGACAGAGGGAGAAGTATTTCATCTGCTGGATTATTTCCCAAATGACTGTAATATCCTGCTGGATCAGGCTGAAGCCAGGAGTTAAAAACTCCACCATGGTCTCCTACTGGGGTGGGAGGGGCCTAAGCACCTGAGTCATCTGCTGCTGCTTTCTTAGGCACTTTGGCAAGGAGCTGGATCTGAAGTGGAGCAGCTGGTACTTGAACTGACACCTGTACAGGATGCCTGCACCACAGGCACAGGCCTAGCCTACTACACCACAGTGCTAGTCTCAATACTTTTTAAATGTTAATATTATTTATCAAAGAGGCATATAGTTTATACAATGAAAGTTTTCCAGGGAGCCAGAATTGGTCTCTTTATTTATTTGAAGGAGAGAAAGAGAGGTCTTCCATATACTGGTTCACTGGGTGAGGCTGGGCCATATGGAAGCCAGGAGCCAGAAACTCCAACTGGGTCCCTCCCCTCAGTGGCAGATGTCCAAGCGCTTAGAAACATTTTCCATTACTCCTCCAAGTACATTAGCAAGGTGCTGGATTGGAAATGAAGCAGCTTGGACTTGAAACAGATCTCTGACATGGATGTTGGGGTCACAGGTGGCAGCTTAGTTCACCATACTTAGACTTTTCTCTCAATGACTCAGGATCACCACCATGAGCACAAATCCTCTCATTGAGCTGAATCAGAGCAAAGCTCTCAGGAACTACTGATGTGCAATGGGGCTGCTTGCCTCTACAAATGAGGAAATAAGATGTATTTGTTCTCTTCTTAAACAAATCAAACATTCTGTTGCAGATGACACTCAGAGTGATGCGGACGGCAGATACCAAGCTGGCAAAGCTTTACATTCTGATACCAGTAGCAGAGAGGTGATGGGAAAGAATGATGCACAAAATGGGATAGCAAATGGGCCAGGAGATCAAGGGTAAGAGGTTGTGTGTGGTGTGAGGCTGCGTTTGGGGGGTCACATGGGCAGGTCTAGGATGTCCTGTTCATGGGGATGCTTCCCACAAGCAGAGACAAGAATCTAGCTGAGCAAAATGCGTGAGCAACAGCCCTTTAAAGCGCAACCACTAGTCTCAGGTTGACTTGCGAGCCTGACGTATCTCACCTGCCCTGGCTTGCTCCCCAGTGTGTCCATTTACATTCTAGTCCTCACTCAGTATGAAGTTTTCCAAGCAGGGAAGGTTCCTATTACTTATAAAATAGAAGATTCTAGAATATACAGATTTAACCAACATATAATCATGGCTTCCTCACGGTTCTTACCTTGAGAATATTATTGGAAAATATGCTGATCGGAATTTTTACTGGAAATTTTATTTATTAAAATTTAAAACATTTATTTGAGAGGGAGAAGATGGAAGGAGAGAGAGATAAAGCAAAAAATGCGTGAGACAGAGCTACATACAATTCTTCTGGCTCACTTCTCAAATGCCTGTAACAGATGAGGCTGGTCCAGGCTGAAGTCAGGAGCCAGGAACTCAATCTAGGTTTCTCACAAGTATAGGAGCCATCACCTACTGCTTTAAAGGCTGGTCAAATGCTCTTTTGAGTTTTTAAATTCCAAAAATGCTTCTGAAACAATTAGCTATACATACACCAAGGAATACATCTGACCCCCTACCTCACACCATGAAATCTTGCTATCCTTGGGTCCATGAACTGCTTACTGATTCTTGAATTTCTGTGTGCAAAACAAAGATCTACACCGGTTGCACTCTGACACAAAATGCAGAGCCCCCTGGCCTGAAGATATGATACTGCAGATACTTTCTCTCTAGAGTTTTTTGCTCCCTTAGATGCCATGGCTGTAGACTACAATCCAGTGTGACCTGTTTTTTCCTCTACACCCTCCTGTCTCAAGGATAAAGATCTTCAATTACAGGATGGGACGTGGTTTTTGTATAATTTCAGCAGAATAACCAGAGTGACCCAATTACGTCATCTTCAGTTGGAAACATAAATTTGGGTGGAACATGTATTAGAGCCTCAAGTTTTGTCTTCATGATGTCACCCTGACCCTAGATGTTGGGACCTGAGAAGATGATATTTTCATGGTTGTGGGAATTACAGACAGGAGAATAACATTTAATTTTCTGTTCTCTAAAGAGTGTTGGGACAATGTCAGAAGGGGAGAGAAAATAACAGTGGATTACCAGGCAGATGATTTATGACTGACAGCATGCCTATCTGGGTTGGAATTTCAGGCCCAATGTTCATGTTCAGTCAGGAAAATGTCAAAGTCGGTAAGAGACACTGGTTTACTTCTGGAAAGAGTTCTAAGCTCTATATTTAGATGTTTTTGGCTTCACCTTCTGTGATGGTAAGCTCAGTAAAGACGAACACAGTGGCTCTAAGGGCAGTGGAGGGATTCTATGCCTTCCTTCTGTGGGTGCACAGCTCCCAGGAGAGCCCACCAGGGTCAGAACGTGCTGTTCAGGGATGGATCGGTTTAGGGTCTGCAGAATAGTTTTTTTCCTTATTTAAAAAATTTGATTTTGAAGTAAAAAAATAAAGGATTTATTTATTCACATGGCAGAGTGACAAAGGAAAAGGGAGAGATAGGAGATAGAGAAAGAGAGAGACAGAGAGACAAAGAGAAGGAGGGAGAAAGACAATCTTTCCACTGCTGGTTCACTTCCCAAATGGCCACACTGCTCAGGCCTGGGTCAGGCTGAAGGCAGCAGCTCCACTCTGCTCTTCCCTACTTCCTTTCAGAATAGGACAATCTGGAGTAGACTTTGAATAAGAAATGAAGGTTTGTTGTGCTACTCAACAAAGCTGAGTTGTCATAATCTATTACACATAGCAGATCCTGTTCCTCCATCCGTCCACCTCCTGGGGAGGCTGGAACCATGGGTGACCTTGGGCTCATCGCTGAGAACTGTGGCTCTCAGGGTGCTACGCAATGATCCTGCTGCTTTGTGTTCCAGAGGCAATGGGGTGTGCTGCCTCAGCTCAATGGGATTCCTGCACCAAGCTTGTGTATCTGCGTAGGCACATGGAGATGGAGCTACTGTTGATGTTCTTTGGAATGTGTCTTCCACAAAAACCCTGGGATTCCCTGGACAGAAGCATCTCACACATAACCCCACAGAGCACTGCCAAAGGAAGTGTAACCTGTGTACCCTGGTAGGGAAGGAACTGAGAACCTGCCCTGCCCCTGCATGGCCTTCTGATGAATTCTATTTTCTGGCTTCCTCTACTACATACTCCTTCTTATAAACCTTAGCTGTGAATGTAACCTACTTTTGTGTCCTCGGAAGATCCTTGTAAATCACCAAAATTGATGGTGACCCTGGAACCCCCAAACCACCTGAGATTTTTTTTCACTTGTAATTCAGAGAACACGTTATCCAAAAATAAGTACATTTTTGCTCAGCCCTTCTGAATCTCAGAACCTCCTGTTGACCTTCTAACCTACACATCAAATTCTTTTGAATTTGTTAGATGTGAGCCAGCTCATAAAAAAACATGCCTACCAATCAATGTATCATGTTGGCCTGTAGAATGGAGAAAGCTTGGTTGAAATCCTGTGACAAGGACATGTCCCCTTGGCAGTGGCCGAGCAGGTTGACACCTGCCAGATAGTGAGCTGAGGAAATACAGCCACACTAGAGCAGGTGCTGGAAAATGACCCATTGGACAAATCGAGCCCATCAGCTGTTTCTATATGGCCAGGAGTTTCTGTATATGTGAACGGCTGAAACAAATACTCTAAGAAAGCATAAGATATCCCAATGTGAGCATTATGTAAAATCAAATATTCAGTTTCTCTGAACACAGTTGTGCAGAAATGGTTGCTTTCCTGTTATGTGGGTGGAATTGTGTGGTCACACTTCGGTTCAGGAAGCCTGACATAATTGTTATCTGCCCCATGACAGGAAATGTGTGCTGATGATCATACAGGCTAGAATATGCCCACGGAGAAGGTGTTTCTCCCTCAATGCTGCCACTTCCAAACTTTGTTTGCCCTGAGACAGAACGTCTCATGGCCAAGGCCACTCAACGCAGGCAGTGGGTTTATACAGAAAGGTGTGGAGAAAACCACTTACGTAAGAGCCGTAATCCACAGCCAGGGTCTGCAGAGCCCAGGGAAGTCCCAGGCCAATCAGGATGTCAAACACGTTGCTTCCAATGGAGTTGGACACGGCCATGTCCCCCATCCCTGTGGGGACAAAAATTTGCTTCAGTGAGTGAGGTGATCCCAGGGCAGCAAGTGCACACTGGGTTTGGTGGGGTGTCCCCCCAGCCTCTGATCTAACAGCCAGACAGCAGTTTTGCTAGTTCACAGTCTTCCTTCTCTCCCCATGCATCACCTTTCCAACAATGACTCTGTAAATCACAGCAATAACATCTTCTATCAATTTATTGTCCTTGATCTCAAATCTGATCACCAAATTACATGTAGGAAACCCAACTATGGTTGCAGAACCTTTCTAGGCTTTGAGATATCCGCACAGAGAAAACCAAATAATCTACAGAGGTGCCCAGCCCACCAACCCATATATTCTCACTTCATCTCCCAACTGCCCCCTTCCATATTCACTCTTTCTGAATGATAGTATAAATAAGTCATGAGCATAAACTCACAAGGATGCCCAGCGGACACTGGGCTAGCTTGGACAGCCACACAGTGCACAGGTCAGGTCAATCAGTAAGGATAGGCACAGCTCTCACAGGGCTCCATCTGGGCACCTGACCCATGACTTTGGTTTGAAAGAGGGGAGGATTTGTCCCTTGCTGAAAACTGAACTCTGGTGACTGACACTTTGGAGGAGAGGGATGCTACATCAAGGAAAACCTTAGGCATAGGCCTGCTCTATTTAAGCCTCATTTTCCCTATCCATAAAATGGTAGGATATCATAGCTGAAGTAAGATAATTAATGCACCTACAACATTAGATTGGGGAGGTTGAGTACCACTGAACCTATCCCTATTGTTAAACATGCAAGGTTGGAAATATGACTTCTAGGAGGGCCTGTGTAGGCTGCTTTCTAGAAAATGTCTCAGCCTTCCTCTGGGGTGGGGCCATCTGGTTCTCTTCCCTGGTTTTCTAAGACTAGGAAGCCTTCAGCCCCACCTGGCACTGAGGTCACCCCTCTAGTCCTTCCATGTTGGGGTACAGCATCCTAGCCACTGCCAAGTGAATGCCTGAGGAAGAGAGGCCCTTTGTTGTTCTCCCAGCCCATCACACACCTTGTCTGGCCACGATGAGGCTAGCCATACAGTCGGGCACGCTGGTTCCGGCAGCCAGGAAGGTGATTCCCATGATGACATCAGGTATCCCCAGGGTATAGCCGATGATGGTGACCTGGAAGAGGCGGAAGAGGTGGTGGGCCCAGGGCTGCCATGAGCCCCACCTGCACAGGGCCCCTATGCTTTACACTCACACGGGGGCTGCAGTCAGGGTCACCTCTTTGGTGGGCGGTGGTGCACCCTGTCCTATAGCTCTCAGGACTGCACATGACCTACACTGTATGACAGAAGCAGACACTGAGTGAAATCCTCCTCCACTGGTTCACTCCCCAAGTGCCTACAACATCCAGGGCTGGGTGAGACTGAAGCCAGGAGCCAGGAGCCAGGAGTTTCTTCTAGGTCTCCCATGTGGGTTCCAGGAGCCAAAGACTTGGGCTATTTTCTGCTGTTTTCCCAGGTACATTAACAGGGAGCAGGATCAGAAGTGGAACAGCTGGGACCTAAACTGGTGCCCACATGGGATGCTGATATTATAGGCGGGGGTTTAATTTGCAATACCACGATGACGGCCCCTCATTCATAGCTTTCAAGCAAGGAAGAGAGGAAATGCGATTGCTGGGAACAGATAATACTAAGAGAGCCCATGTGAACCCCTGACAACACTGCAGAACCCAGTATTATGAGCCTCCTGTACAGTGCCTGCAAGGGAGAACTTCCATATTAACAGTGCTTAACAGGTCATTAGCACGAGGCTAGTCCAAGTCCTTGGGTCCCTGCACCCACATGGTGAGACCCAGAGGACGCTCCTGGCTCCTGGCTTCAGCCTGACCCAGAACCAGGCAGCTGCAGCCATCTGGGGGAATAAACCAGCAGGTACAAGATCGCTATCTCTCTCTGCCTCTTGCTCTGTCTCTCTGTAACTCCACCTTTCAAATAAATAAAAATAAATCTTTATCTTTTTTTAAAGGACATTACTCAGTGACGGTGCTAGGTAAAAACCTCAGTGTACAGGATGGTGCCAAGATTTTGGCTGTTAAAAAAAAAAATCTGTGAGGCTAAAGCAAGGGGTAATTATGAGTTAATGATGTTAGGTTTGCAACTCTGCTACTATTTTCAAAAAATACTTCCAGACTCTTTTTAGTTTTGGCTCTTGATTATAATCCTCCAGAGTTTATACTGCATTTCTGTCCAACACGCGAGCAAGGTTAATTTGAATTTGCATAAGTTTGTCATGATTTTCAGTTTGGGCCTCACTCCATTTTTCTTTTCAAAAATATATTTAGGGCCCGGCGCGATGGCACAGTGGTTAAGGTCCTCGCCTTGCACGCCCGGATCCCATATAGGCACCAGTTCTATCCCGGTAGCCCCGCTTCCCTTCCAGCTCCCTGCCTGTGGCCCGAGAAAGCAGTCGAGGACGGCCCAAAGCTTTGGGAACCTGCACCCGCGTGGGAGACCCAGAAGAGGCTCCTGGCTTCAGATCGGCATAGCATCGGCCGTTGTGCTCACTTGGGGAATGAATCATCGGACGGAAGATCTTCCTCTCTGTCTCTCCTCTCTGTATATCCGGCTTTCCAATAAAAATAAAATAAATCTTAAAAAAATATATATATATATATATTTCATTGAAAGGCAGGGTTACCAAGAGAGCAAGGAGGAGACGCACAGAGATCCTCCACCTCCTAGCACACTCCCTAAATAGCTAAAAGCCAGGCTGAAGCCAGAAGCTTCATCTGAGTCACCCATGTGGCTGCAGGGACCACTTGGACATCTTCTGTGTCCTCCCTGGCACAGCAGCAGGGAGCTGGACCAGAAGTAGAGCAGCCAGGACTTGAAGCAGCACTCATGTGGGATGTTAACACTGCAGGCAGTGGCTTGGCCCGTGGAGCCCCCGTACCACCCCTCCCCAGCACTCCAGTTCTAATGAATGAGATCCGCTTGCTAGGTAAGAAGTGCAGCCCTACAACAGCCAATATTTTAGTATGGCTGATTCTCCTAAGATTTTTTGGGGCGTGGGTCCTTTTTGCCACAGTTCCACAGCCAAGATGAGTCACTGAATTGTCACTTTAGTTCCAGGAGAGATTCTCCAGCTGGCATCTTGCCTGATGACATAATTTTCTGGTTGAAAGAGCTAGGACTCAGATGGGGAGGGCCAGATCTACCATCACACCCCTATTCTTCACGCCTCCCCCAAGTCCTTTGACTTGTGGCTCTGTCTTCCCCCTAGACCTGGGGAGCTCTTTGTCCAACTCCATTTGGGGAGTGAACCAGAGGATGTAAGCTTTCTCTCTTCCTCTCTGTTAACTCTTTCAAATAAGTATGATAAATTTTTGGGGAAAAAAAAAGAGTAAGTAAGCCACAGCTTGAAGCAGAGCTACAGAGCCAGTCTCAGCGGAAATGCTAAGATGAATAAGGTCACGGTCAGCCTGAGTTCGTTCGGGGGCGTGAACCACAGCCTGGGTTCCAAGCACTGCGTTTGTGGCTCGTGGTAGCGATGGCCGACTGGAGCCAGTGCACTTCTCTCTCAGTGCCGAGGGGTTCCACCCTGCACCCCACTCACCATCCACACCATCATGTAGGAGAAGGCTGCGATCCACAGTGTGGACGAGGCAAAGGTCACCATGAACCACTTCTCCCAGCGTGGCTTGTTACAGTTGGGGACCGTGAAGTACAGGATGAAGCTCAAGGGCCAGGTGAACGCCCATTTCACCGTTTCCAGTTTGCCAGCTGGGAAAGAAGAAGAAAAACCACACGCAACTGGTGAGCTTCATTTCTGGGCTTCTGACCCAGGGTATCCCCATGGGACTTCTTCAAACTGCAGGAAAGCATTACCTCACACTACTGCTGCCCCTCCTGGCCCAGCCCCTCTTGGGTGCTAAAGGCAGAGGGTCTGTCCATAGCAGTGGGCAGACAGCACTGGGACCCATGCCTGCTTTTGGCTTAGGAAGTGTCAGTAGTTTATATTCCCTATGCCACAGTTTCCCGCACCTATAAAATGTGGAGGTGGTGATTCCAGGCTCACGTGGCTGCTGGAATGTCAAATGAGATGGTATTAACATGGGGGATGGGACAAGGCTGGCCCTCAAGTTGCCCCATTTTTGATTCCTTCTCATCCCTATCTTGATCCCTACTTTCACTGTCTGCACACCCTCCCCCAGAGCTGGCTTATCCATCTGTGACCTGGCTGAAGACCTGCCTTCCTGTAGGCACTCCCTCACCCATTTCCCTCTGTTGGCCAACAGTCCACGGGAGAGTCGCAGGAAGCACATTGCTCTAGAACATTCTCCTGGCCGTAGAGTAAAGCTCCATCTCCTCACCACGGCCTACAAGACCGTGTCTCACGTGGCCTCTACCACTCTGCCTGCTTGTACTTCCCCTCTCCCAACCCCACCTTGGCCCCACTGCTGCCTCAGGATCCTAGCAGGGGTGGGTCTCTCTGCCTGGATGCCCTCAAGGGTGAGTGAGCTTTGTCATGAAGCTCTGAGTTTTTCCCTCCCAGAGCTGATTTTGCAAAATACTCTCCCCCGCTGCCTCCACCACTCCCTACTGTTATAATGACACAGATGCCTTCTTGATGCTGCTTTTCCTCGGAAATAACAGACAACTGGAGAAGCAGATATCACTGCGTACAGCTCTCAACACAGTCACACATAAAGCTGCCAGAGGGGTCTGTAAATGATGCTAAGGTGCAGGAGCTGTTGGACAGAGACAGTCCACGCATGCATGAGCCTGTTTCTGCTCCCCAGTCAGCACTGCTCCCTTTCCTCTAGGAGTCAAGCTGCAACCCTGGCCACAATTCCATTTTTGGTTCCGTACCACTTGGTCAAGAGCCCTGGAGGTTCAGGCTGATTCACTCTCTTAGCAATCATTTATGGGATGATCTCCAGGCCATTTTGTACTGGTCATGACTCCAGGTGCCAGGGACCCTACGATGAATTAAAGAAAGAAGACTTCTCTCCTTAGAGCTGTATGGCTTCAAGAGAGCTTGCCAGCAACTGGGAGACGGAGCGAGGGAAGTGTGCGATGAGAATCCTTTCAAGAAGCAAGAGGACTTGCTCTAAACTTTAGTCCTTGCCAAGCTTGTAGAAAACTTGATGCTTTCTGGAAACCTGACTCAACTGGAGAAAGGAAAAATAACTGTACAGTATGTATTCTGCCAGAGGTGAGGTTGTCTTCACTCAGGTGATAAGGCTGTGGATGTACACTTACAGGTATGTATGTGTGCACATATAATGTGCACAGGTGTGTACATAATACAGGTATACAACCTCCACATATAGTATTAGGCATATGCCAACAGCAGGGTGGGTAAAGCAGCCACCAGCAATGCTAGCATCCTGTATGGGTTGTTTGAATCCCAGCTGTTCTAGTTTTGATAAAGTCCCTGCTAACGCACCTGGGAAAGCAACAGAACATGATTTAAATGCTTGGGCCCCTGCTCCCATGTGGGAGACCTGGAAGAAGCTCCTGATTCCAGGGTTCAGACAGGTCCAACCCTGGCTCTCAGCCATTGGGAGAGTGAACCAGCACATGCAAGACGTTCCTCTGTCTCTTCTTTCTCTGTAACTCTGCCTTCCTAATGCATAAGATAAAAATATTTAACAAAATGCATGCTCAATATAATAACCATGCAACATACATATACATACTATATTTATACATACATTATAAATTGCATACCATTCACGTGAAGACAGTTCAATGGTTTCATGAAAAAACGGAAAATTAGATTTGTCTTGGTGCAAAAAGCTTTGAAATCTATGTGTAGATTTTAAAGATTTATTTATCTTTTTATCGGAGAGTCAGATTTACAGAAAGGAGAGACAGAGAGACCTCAATGGCTGGAGCTGAACCGATCCAAAGCCAGGAGCTAGGAGTTTCTCCCAGGTCTTCCATGCGGGTGCAAGATCCCAATGCCTTGGCAGTCCTCGACTGCTTTCCCAGGCCACAGGCAGGGAAGTGGAGCAGCTGGGATACGAAGTGGTGTCCAGTTGGGATCCTGGCACATGCAAGGTGAGGATTTAATGACTAGGGTACTGAGCCGGGCCCTTTGTGGAGATTTTCATAAAATGCATTTTGTGTGAACTTTTCAGACAACCTCTCATTGCACATGAATCTATTCACAAGTATGTGTGTATGTGCACATAACACATGTGATACACGTTCACACACACGTCCTCCATACACCTGTATCTTTATCTACTCCCAAATCACTATTTGTTAGTTATGCTCATTCTGTGTAGTCAAGTGTTAGGAGAAACAATGGGGAATGGGAGCCTTTGCAGGAAAAAGGTCCTACAGGACCCTCAGAACCAGAGGAATCCATTGCAGGAACCATCCCTCGCCTGACTGTTGGCCCACTGATGCCCTCTGCTGGCTGGAGGCATGCCCTAGCCTCCTTACAGCTGAGCAAGTCCTGGCTATGCCATCGCCTGTCCTTGTCTTAGCACTGGGTTCTTGGCAGCTGGTGCAGTAGAGAAGAGGGCATAGGTGATCAAGCTCACACCTTGTTTCAGAGGGAGAGCTGGCTCTGCCAGCTCCTCTGCATCTCAAAGGAGTCACGTGGGCCATTGTGCAACTCCAGGATTCTAAGTCTCCCTGCTCTAAAACGCAGGCTGCATGCTCGACCTGCCGCATCATTACACTCATTGGCATCCAGGATGCTCGGATGAGAAGGGTTTGTGTAGAAGGACTTGGATGCCCAGAGCAGGCTGGAATGGACACCTGCCTCGGTGGCTGCTAACACCTATGGAAGCCGTGGATGGCAGCAAGGCTTGACATTTGTTGGCTGCAATGACTCACAGCAATGCCAAGGGATGTGGAGCAGGGGTCTCAAGCCCCTGGAGTCTCCAGGCAGGAGAGCTGAATTGTTCTCCCAATGGAGAAGCATGGAACAGGTGATCGCAGAGACCCTGTGTGTTTTAAGGAAGGCATAGGAGCCAGTCATCTGTCACATGTTACCTAGGCCTCAGGGATATATAAAGGGTGAGGGTCCTGGACCTCCCGGGTGCCCATGCTGCCCCCTCTCTGGGCTTCATACTCTCAGCCTGGCTCAACTGTTTCTAGAGTTAGTGAATGAGTTTTTGAGCAAGATCAGAATTTCTGTCACTTGACTATGATGAGCCAGTGGTGGGCTCTGTAAACCAGGGAGGGATCGGCAGGATTTTAGACACGGATGACCCTCACTCTGTTTTGCACACCCAAGAGCAGGTGGAGCTCTGGGCCCTGTGACCTCTGGCTCAGTGGACCTTCAGGTGTGGAGGCTGCACAGGGGGACTGGTCCAGCTGTGTGAGCCCTCTGAGCAGAAGGGGAGGTCGCCAGGGAGATGAGAAGAAATGGGGAGGAGGGAGAACTTGAGGAGGAACCTGGAACTTTCTGGAAGGGTCTGTGGGAGCAGTCAGCTGCCCTGGCTGGCAGTGAGCAAGGCTGTTCTGCAGCCTGACAGTGCCTGGGCATCGTTCTCTCTGGGGCTTTCTGGAAGGGTCTGTGGGAGCAGTCAGCTGCCCTGGTACCCAATGGTATCTGGCCATGGTTTTCCCTGGGGCCACCAGAAGGGAATACAATTCCTTTCACACCACCACCAAAGCTCTGGGAAGTTCTAGGAACCCAACTGAACTTGTGGCCAAGACAGCTGGATGCCAACCAGGGGGTGTATCCTAAAGCTGATGGATTTGTGGGGGCTTGTGAGACACCCATGGAAAACGAAGAGAGGGTGGGATTATAAGACAGGACTGATGTATTTTGCCATTTACTCCTTAGGATGCTTTTGTGAGGCTGGTATGTTATGGTATAGCATGACACCAGCCCCTGCCTGCAATGTCGGCTTTCCATATGGGCACTGCTTCAGGTCCTGGGTGCTCTACTTCCTATTCAGTTCCTTACTAATGTGGGATGATGCCAGATTTTATTGTGTTGCTTAAAAGGGCATGTCACTCAAAACTTTTATGCTCATTATTTTCCATTTATCCCTTTTAAGCCACAATTGATCATCAAGGATGAAGTTGAACTATCTTAAACTTTTTTCTATCAAGGTAACCTACTGCTAAGCAACAATTCAAATTTGGCTAGGACGTTAGGGAAGCTGGGTCCTCGGGACCAGATGGAGGATAGTATGTTTTCTGGTATGTATTCGGCAAGGCTGGGCCTCCTGAGTGGGATGGGAGTTGCTATGGTCACTAGCTGTGCCCTGGACACAGAGTCAAGCATGACAAAACACAACAAGACTTTACATCTGAATATAACACAGGACTTGGCCATTCTATACCCATGTCCCACCACTAAGTGGGCCTTCAGCTGCCCAGCAAGTTTTCCTCTGACAGTCCTCAGGCAGGTACAGGTGTCAATCAGACTTCTCTCATTTGATAGTGCCTGCATTCCTCAAACAGCCAGAAGTTTCTAGGTCTAGGATATAAGCAGACTTCTTTGGGTTTGCTCCACTTGTTTCCATAATGGGTGGGGTTCCTGGACCCTCTAAGTGCAGCAGTGTAGGAAGGACACCATGTCAATGGCTATACTTCTGAGAACTGTCACCAGCTTCCCATCTTCCCCTTCAAGCGGCCCAGTGTAAGGACTTGCAAACCAGCTGCTGGTCAGGTATGCACTTCGTATAGGATCTGCCCTGCAGTCAGCAGGTGGTGGGAGAGGCAGACACCTGAAGCATGGCTGGCTGGCACAGGCTGGGTGGAGGTGAGGGAAGTGAGCACCTCTTTTCCTGAGCTCCAAGCTGCCTGGCTATTCTAGGTCCACACGCCCTTCCTCCTGAGCACCCATGGGTTTTGCAGGTCAGTACAGAGAAGGCCTCCAAGAATTGCATTCGGCCAGAGAGCTCCAGTGACAACCAATGATCAGATGGGACCTTCTAACACCAGTGTCCTGCTCACTGGGGCAGAGGAATCTGTGTTTCTGGGCTCACAGAGAGGCCTTTCTGGGGACTGTTAAGTGGAAGAATCCTCTGAATCGAGGGCATCCACCCACTGGGCTCCACGTGGGCTCCCAGCCCCAGCCCAGCCCAGGATGTCTCACACGGGGGGTCGAAAGGCGTGTATGGGCCTTCCTCATCCTCCTCATCCTCCTCGTCCTCCTCGTCGTTGCTGTTGTGTTCGCTGTCATCATTCTCATTTTCTGTCTCGCTGCCCACTTCGGCCACCACTTCATCCCTCCGAGGCCCATTCCCGCTCCTCTCCGGGCCGCTGCTGGGCCCTGTCCCATTCTCCACCGTGTGCTTGATAGGGATTTTGATGGCCACCTCAGATTCCCCGTTGGCATAGGCTCTGCTGTTGATCAGCCTTTGTCTCTGCAATGAAAAATGCAAAAACCTCAGGCCTAGCACATGAGCTACTGGAAACACACACAGGTGGCTCAGACGGAGAAGCTTCCAGAAGAGTCTGGAATCAAATCCTAAGGGATTCCTCAGAGGATTAACTTTCTATCTCACTGGAACTTCTAGATACCTGAAAGATGATTGTGGTGGTCAGGACATACACGGATTGGACAGCCTATGTATTGTGATGTTATTTTTCCTCTCCACATTGGAGACCCCTGGGTACAGATGTGGGAAAGCCAGATGACTGTGTTGGGGCTGGTGAGTCAGTAAGGCTGCCACTCCAGAGGGGGGTGGTCAGATGGGAGACTCTGAATTGACTTCAAAGCCAAGGTCACCTGGGCAGCTATATCCGGGAAAGTTGCCCCAAGAACGGACTTCACTGAAATGGAAGGATAGAAGAGCAAGGCAGGTGGAAGGGCACAGGAGGGTTTTCTTCAGAAGCTGGGCTAGATGATGGCTTAAATGTGTGAAGGGAAGCTTGGGACTGGGACACAGCTGGCCCAGCAAGCAAAGACTTGTGATGGCTGAGGGATCCTATGGCTGAGTTACACTCCTTTCTAACCAGGACATGCTCTCTCCTTCCCAGAGTTCTTACGCCTGTCTAGTATTCATGGACTCAACTTGTCCAGTACCTCGTTGATTAGCATGCGGCTGGCCATGGAGAGCCGGGTCTTAGGTGGGAAGTGGCTTGTGATCATGATTCGAAGGCCAGCCTCGGAGAAAGAAAGCTGGTGGGGGTAGGCCGACAGCAGTTCATCTACCATGATCACCGATGTTTTACGGTGGAAATTAGCTGTGGAAATGAGATGTAAGAAAAAAGTGTCAGGGCAGGAAAGAGGCATTAATTCATTTTTTTCTTCCCTTTTCCTCATTCTTCTTCCATAGCCTTCCTTGGTCCCATCTTTCTATCCATCCATCCATCCATCCATCCATCCATCCATCCATTCATCCATCCATCTTTTTTCCCCTCCCTCCCTCTCTCTCTCTCTTCCTTCCTTTCTTCCACCCATCTACCTGACAATCTATCCATTCACTTCCCTGCTTCCTTCTCTTCCTTCCATCTATCCCTCCATTTATCCCCTTCTTCATTTCCTAACTCCCTTCCATCCATCCATCCATCCATGCAAGGCTGCTGTGGATAAAATCTGGACAGAATCCAAGTTGCATTCCCATGGGTCAGGCAGCCAGGTCATTGGAGAAGTCTTGAAACCAACAACCTAAGCATCACTCGCTGTCATGGTAAGAATGAATGATGACATAACAGAACAACTCCCTGGACATCACAGGAATCTTTTCACATTGCTTTGGTCATGGGGCACAGGAAAGACCATGATGACCTTTGAAACTCTGTAGGTCCATCCAATGTCCACAATGTTCATGCTGAGATCTCAAATGCTACAGAGCTGACTTTAGGGCCAAGTGGGGGACACGGCAGGGACATGGGATACACATTCCCTCAGCCCAGCCTTCAGACCCTGCTGACAAGTGGGTGGGTGGGGACCTGTCTGTGTTACTGGGTCCTGAATGCCAGAAGGGGCCTTGGTATAGATCCTGTTTGCTGATTTGCTAGGAGGCCTGGCCACATGTGCTTCACTGAGGCCTAAGCCCTCTCTGGCATGAATGAGAAGTTATGACCACACAGCTCACGGGTGCCCGGCCGCAGAGCACCCCTCAGGACTAGCTCCTTTTTTTTTTTTACCCCAGCCACAAGCTCGGGTCTTGGGAAAGACTAATACATGGCAGCTCCCCTTGGTGCCCAAGCATATACCTTGTGTGGTGACATAACACATCACAAGAAATCTCCAGATAGCACGGTACTATGTAAACCACTTCCTAAACGTACCTATACTCACTGAGGGAAGGAAAAAGAGCTCCGATCCTGGATGTCCAAAAACTAATCACCACCCAGGGATTTCAGAGACAGAGATACACTTGGGAAGAACTGATTCATGTTCTCATTATTTTTTTCCCCTGTGAAAAGCTACCAGGGACCAGAAAGAAATAAAGTCACACATTTCAAGCAGTAAGGTAGAAAAATTAAATGAGAAATGAAATGGTCCAGGCAAAATGAATTGATGATTTCCTGCTTTCCTCTATGAAAGACTATTCTTTATCAGAGAGCAATGTGTTGCCACCCTCAGTTTATCATCTGCTCTGTAAGAATCAGGTACACAGGAGGATTACTCAGAAAGGAAAGGCAATTTTTGGCAGCTCGGAAGTTGGGTAATGTGACCGAAAGTGTATTTGGACACTCAGTATTTTGCCAATAACACTTGCCATTGAGGGAGCCTTGCAGAAATCTCATTGATAAATTTTCTCTACTTACGTTTTAGTAAAATGCTTCCCATTTTTCAGAAGACAAAACAGGTTCACCATGATTAAGAAACCTGTTCCATGAACAGAGTTCAAATCTACGAGAACCAGCGCCTCAAAACCCACGGTGCTCTTGGGGTCCTCCCTTCCCTGGGGGACACTCAGGCTGAGTGTGGCCTGAGCTCTGTGAGGGCTATGCAAGTCAGCTCATTCATGAACTAGTAGGAGACTACTCCTATGGCACGACCAACGTGAGGGTGGGGAACAAGACGCTGCTGGCTGTGCCTGGGGGCGGGTAATGTAACCTCACAGGCAGTAGGGATGATGCCCTACGTGTTAGATGGCTGGGTACCCCAAGACCTCATGTTAGATGGCTGTGTACCCCAAGACCTCATGTTAGATGGTGGTGTACCCCAGAGCCTCATGTTAGATGGTGGTATACCCCAGAACCTGTGTTAGATGGCTGTGTACCCCGGATCTCATGTTAGATGGTAGTGTACCCCAGAACCTGTGTTAGATGGCAGTGTGTCCCAGAACTTGTGTTAGTCAGTGGTGTATCCCAGGACCTCATGTTACATGGTGGTGTACCCCAGAACCCGTGTGTTTAATGGCAGTGGACACCAGAACCTCATGTTGTGTGGTAGTGTGCTCTAGGACCTCTTTCCTGGACCCAGGTCCCCTCCACGGTTACCTTTCTTAAGTAGCACCACAGTGGCGTCGCAGTTGCTGCTGTCGTCAACTTCGGCATTGTTGGCCAGCCCGTTGACCATGTTCTCAGCACCTTTGGTTCTCCTTTCAAAGCACTGATGTATGCAAGCATTGTATCTGCACCAAGAGAGGTGGAAAGAGGCATCAGTGGGCACCAGTCCTGCACTTGCCAACTGCCCTGCCATGCCCATCCTGACCCTGAGGGCACCCTGGGGGCCTTGCAGTCTAGTCCCTGACTCAGGGGATGGCTGCTGTCACTCTGTCATCCCACATACCCTTAAACCTGGCCTATTTTTTCAATGGAAGGATACAGAGTCAGTGAAAAATAAAGCCATCATCATACACCTGTTCCTTTCCACCACACTGGGTTTTGGCAGCAAAGACCCTGGACACATGGTCCCGGGAATAGAGATCTTGACTGTCCCATTGGGTCTTAGCATTATCTTTCCATGCACATTCTCTGCACGAGGCATAATGGAAAATTGGTCACAGGTGATTGCTGCTGGATGTGGCAAGGGAGGAGAGCAGGTGGCTTTCTCCCACCTTGTGACACCTCCTTATGAACCAGCAAGTCTCAGATACTGAGTGGGAATGGCCACTACTATCACAAGCCAGGCAAAAGTCAGTGTGGCTCCCCTTCTCAGAAGTCACCACTCTGGGATACAGTCAGTGACACGGGTGAAGCCCCGAGGCCCAAGAAATGGTTGCGTCACCTATGGGATGTATGGCCAAGCTTTTAAAGCTTAACCGTGAGCCACACATTAACAAAAGAGACAGAGAGATGCAGAGACAGAGATCTCCTATCTGCTGACTCACACCCCTCCCTCTCCAGGATCCCTAATGGTTGTGTGGGACTAGACAGAAGCAGGAAGCTGGCAACTCAATCTAAGTCCACGTGCGTGGCAGGAACACAATGACTTGAACCACCATCACCTGCTGTGTCCCAGGTCTGCATCAGCAGGAAGTTGGAGTCAGGAGCCTGAGCTGGATACTGAACCTGGCCCCTGCCACGTGCCACGTGGTTAGCTGCTTGCCCCTGTGAGGTGTTCTTGAAACCAGATATGGGAAGAACAATCTCCTTTCATTGAAAGCCTAAGAGCTAGGAACAATCACTAACTTCGCTTTGTGTAAGAGGAAACGCTCAGAATGGCTGGGCATGTTGGCTACTGAGTGACTGTTGAAAGTTGCTGCTGTGCCAAATGCACAACACCTGTTCCCACGATCAGATCACACTGCTGACTCTGAGAACAAGTCCAAGCAGAGACTCAGGATGTACAAACACCGGTCCTTGCTAAGACCAAGTGCATCTCCGGTTCCCTGGGGTTCCTCTCCACCTGGTCAAGTTCAAATCACCTTTGGATCATTAGACAGAATGTCTAAAAGTCATTTTACAGCTATCTGCCCAGGAGGAGGCAGCTGAGGGTTCTAAAATTTACCAATTTTTTCTAAAGTGGCTGTTGCTCTGTTTTATATTTTTAATTGAATGTTTTAAATTTTGTGCTTGTACCCGGAAGTTATTTTATTGTGAAGCATGCAATTTTATAAATCAGATTTTATAAAACCCAATGATTAAAGCTTCTGATTGCTGGAGGGGGGGCTGGCTAAAGAGCAGCTTTTTCAATTTAGAACTTAGGCCCAGAATTTATGCAGAAAATTCTGCAAGCACAGTAGCTGCTCTGCCGTGTCTTATTTGTCTCCTGCTGGTTTGAGCAGCTGGGATGTGGATAAAGCTGCATGTCAGCAGAAATACACACCCTACCCATCCATATTTGGTTTAGGAAGGAGGCGAGGATGTGTTTGCTGTGTTATCTTAAAGTCCGCATGCTTTGCCAGCATCTCATGGACCGGATGAAGGCTCCTAAGGGGGTGTAGTGGATGCAGAATGCATACCAGCAAAAGTCTTCAACCCCCTTTACTGTCTGTTAAACCAAGGCTGTGTCTGAAATCACCTTATCCTGCGAAGCCCCTAATGGATGCACTATGAGACAATTTTCCTGATTCACAGCTCAAGATGGATGTTGGGCAGATAACAGACACTGTGGGGGCAGTTCTGCACCTGCCTGCTCAGAGAGGGAAGATGACAACTCTGCATCCTGAGAGCTCAAACTCAAAAGGCCGAGAGTGAAAATAAAGGGTGACACAGCCCCATCAGACTGCCTGGGCCCTGTTTCTGATGCCAGCAGCCTGCTGATGTGTTCTTGGCAGGCAGTAGGTGGCAGTTCCAGTAGTTGGGTCTCTGCCACCCACATGGGAGATCCCTAATGAACTCCTGGCTCCCAGCTTTCACCCAGCCTAACCCTGGCTATTATGGGCTTTTCAGGAATGAACCAGTGGGTGGAAGATCTCTATTTCTGTCTCTCTGCATTTAAGAAAAAAAATCAGAGAAGGCAGAGGGAAGCTATTTGTAGTACCTGAGGTTTTTTTTTTTGCCATTTGCAATAAAAAGGAACCAAATGGTAGCACCCCTACTTAAAGACTTCTCCTTTGGGAAGCCTTTGGGCCAACTTTGTTTTTTCATTAGAACGTGTCTACCAATGTTTTTCGGTGAAAGTTGTCTCATTTCACAGAGATGACTCACTCTGGAATCCTCATGAGTGTCCTTGAAAACTCCACACCAGGACATGTTGGAGTGAGAGCCCTGGCCCAGTGCTATGATCCAGTTCCTGAGTCTACACTGGCCATGGAACAGCTCCTCTATTGGGCACCAGTTTGAGCGGGTGGCAGCAGATTGCGTGTAGCCCACCACGACATCAGCCAAGCCAGTTCTTGCCTCCGTGGTCTGTATAACACGTGCTGATTCCATTACTGATGTCTCTAGCAGGTCTCCCAGTCAGTGGAGGCCTCACCAGCAAGAAAAATCTAATTGGCCATCCCAGACCATTACCTGATGTGTTCAAAGTGGACATTCCTGACAGTTCTCTATTTCTTGCACCCCAGAGAAGGTGGTCACTTCTGCAGCTGCATATACTGAGGGAAGTAGGGGCAGAATATGACGGAATGAGCTCTCAAGGCAGACAGATAACTATAGCACAGGACCTCTCTGCATTATTTATAAACACCTCATCCTGCTGATGTCTGGCAAAAAAACCCTCAAACAAACAAACAGAACCCGAAAACCTCAACAAGCTCACAAAGATGGTGCTTACTTCTAACTTGGAGGATGGGTAAGTAGCAATAGAATTCTTGCAATAATGTCAGGGAAGAAAAGAACAGATGCAGTGATGATTTTAAGACTGTCCACAATCCTTTAACACTCCTACTTTTCACAGTCGATTTCAAGCCCTCAAGTGTGGCCTGAGTCAGTCTCTTGCTTCTAGTGAACAGAATGTGGTAGGATAATGGTGTGAGGCTTCTGAGATGGGGTTGACAAAGGCACTGCAGGAAGTCTCCTTGCTTTCTCTCTGGGGAAGTAACTCATCAGTGGGCAAACAGCCAGCACCAGCTTGCCATCCCCAAAGAGGCTCCACCAGCTCCAAAGACATACAGGAACTGTAGCCCAAAGCAAAACTGTAATCTCACAAGAGTCCCTGAGCTAGACTCTTGCAGTTAAGTCGATACTGGGTTCCCAACTCTCAGGAACAGCATGAAGTTTTACATCTCTATGTTTTGGGGGAATCTGCAATGGAACAATGGAAGTCTCTATACATTTGATGAATGGCTTTATTCATCTTTCTTCTCCCTCTATCTCTTGGTCTACATAGAAGAATAATGTCTTCTTTTAAAACAGAGTGAGGGAACAACTGATTAAGCTAGGTTTCTGGGTCCCAAAGAGGGAGTCATCGTTTTGAGAGTTCTCAAATGAAACATTTGAGCATTAATTCCATCATCACACGTGGGATGGAAGGGTCGTTGCTCTTGTGACTAGTACAAGTGACAGTGGTTCCCCAGCAGGAGTCTGTGATTGGGCGTGGGGAGCTATGAAGCAAGCAGAAGATCCCACACTTGCCTACTCCCTTGGGCACATTACCACCTAGTGTAAGTCAGAGACCCTCTGGGGAGGAAATGAAGCAGGTATTTACTTACTTCATGATGACAATGTAGATAAGATACATCAGCACAAGCACTAAAGACTCCCACCTGCACACAAACCAAGAAGAGTTAGAGAAAGTTACCCAGGGCAGGCAGGGACTCCCCAACAGCCCCCTTGATAGGAACGGCCAGGAAGACAAGGTAGAGCCATTATGGGTATTTATGGACTGCCTGTGGCTTTCAACCTTCTTTCTCTTCCCTCCCCACCACTCCTTCCTGTCTGTTATTCATTCAATTCAAACAGCTCTGAGCAAGTGACGTGTCTTTTTGCACGATGCTGGATATAGATCTGTGCTTATAAATCTGTCCGCAGCTTAAGCATTCACTGAGGTTGTTTAGATATATTGACAGAGGACAAACTAATACTAGAGTTAAATAATGGGGTGACTAAGAGATGGTTAGACACATGGCAGTAATGAATAAGGAGTGGAGGAGAGGGACAGAGGTAGAGAAAGACAAAGAGAAATACAAATAGAGATACTGAGAGTGACAGAGGCAGAGAGAAGACCAGACAGACAGGAAGAGGGACGGAGACAGAGAGGCAAAGAGATACAGAAAAAGATGGGAGAGAGAGAAATAGAGAATACCTGGCTAGGAAAGGTAAGAATGAACGAGTAGAAAAATGACCACGAGGCAGGGACAAAAAGCATAATGAAATCCCCTGGAATACACCTTTAATTCTTGTAAGTTGAGTCCTTCCTCCATTTTAATTATTTTCCAATTAGAAAACATGAAACTTGTTTTCTGGGTTCCCTTGAAGCTATGGAATTAGATTGGCCAACTGCAGGAGTGATTTTGGCTCCGAGAGAAAGTCAGTGGAGAACAGGTTAGGGAGGAAATTCTTGGGTCTAAGGAAGAAATTCCGGGAGCTGTCCCTTCTCCCTTTGCTCTTTGCAAATTCCTTGTCTGGAAATTGTCCCAGAAAAATATTTGCTCAAACACAGAGAGGATGCAAATGCAAGGGATTTTGTTGCAAAGGGATATTTATAAAAGCAAAGACAGGGGGAAGTCGGATGGCTACAAAATAAGGGACTGGGCACACAGCTTACCAGTACATCCTGAATGGCATAGCACAACACCATCACAAGTGATTGTGCAAATGTGTGTCAGTCACAGTGAGTGTTCAGGATGTGACACAAGCAGTGAGAGTGTTCAGACTCCTCATACTGCTCCCACATCTCTCAAGGTCCATCCCGCATGCACTGTGGGCACCTCCCACTGCCATGGCCAATGTCAATGGTTTATCTTCCAGACTCATCTGGCTCCTGAAACACCTGCCAAGGACACTGGTGACTGCCACCTCTGCTAACCCAGCAAAAACACCCTCTCCTGCTCCCCAAATGGCTTCGCTCCTGCATGAGTTCCCGTCCCCTAGCTTTTTCCTTCTCTATCCTTGTTGCCTTCTTTGCTTCCTAATTCTCATCTTTAGTGACCGCATCCTCTTACTTCTGCACTTATACTCTTTTCCTCCTGATCTCTTTCTATAAATGCCAAGCACATAGTAATGACATCCAATATACAAATGAGCCACCCCCTCCAGCTGTACACTCATATATCTACTTGTCTGTATAGCCTCTCCATCCAGAAGTCTAAGTGCGTGTATGAAAAAAAAAACCTTTTGATTTGGGAAGCAAAGAGAGGGAGAAGGGTAGAGGGAGAGAGGGGGGGTGGGGAGAAAGAGAGAGAGAGAGAGAGAGAGATATGAGAGACACTGAGAGAGAGAGGCACTGATTGACAGAAAGAGAAACTCTTATCCACTGGTTCACTTCTTCAGAAGCCCACAATGGCCAGGGTTGAGCCAGGAGCTGGAAGGACAATCTCCCACACGGATGCAGGAACTCACCGACTTGAGCTGGTACCCTGCCTCCCAGGGCCTGCAACAGCAGGAAGCTCAAATGGGGAGCTGGAGTCAGAAACCTAGCCCAGGGGTCCAGTAATAGATTTTTGTAAAGGCAGAGAGAGAGTTTGAGAGAGAAAAAGGGAGGGACGGAGGGAGGGAGAGGGAGAAGGAGATGGAGAGAGAAAGAGAGACAGACAGAGACAGAGAGAGAAAGGTGTTCCCTACGCACTGGTTCACTCCCCAAATGGCTGCAATGAGCAGGCTAACTTCAGGAGCTAGGCGCTCACTCAGGGTCTCCCACACAGGTGCAGGGCCCCAAGCACTTGAGCCAACCTCCACTGCTTTCCCATGCGCATGAGCAGCTAACTGGGTCTGAAGTGCAGCAGCAGCCAAGTCTCAAATCAGTCCTCTGACATGGGATGCCCGAGTCTCAGGTGGTAGCACATCATGGGCCCCATGGATGTTTTAACTGACACTTTAACTGTCAGGACAAATGCCACCCCATCCTAGAACAGAACTACTCACTCCTGGCAGCCATGGATGCTGCTGTCTCCAAGGACTGCACGGCTTTCTGCCCAGTCACACCTGAGGCCTGGACATCAGCTGGAAGCCCCTCTGCTCCTTGACCTCCACCGGGGCTTGGAGTTCAGAGATTTCCCGAGCCACTGATTTCTCCCCTCTCTAGCACTGACTGGGACAGTTGCCCCCTTGGCAAAGCATGGTGTAGGAAGCTGTGAAAAGGAACATGGAGTGGCTCAACAGTGAGCTGGAAGGCTCAGCTGATGTTGGGAACTGAGGGAACAGAGAAACTCTGGGAGGGGCACATGGAAGCTTTGAACAGCCCTTGCCTGGGCCCTGGTCTGGGAGCTGTGGCAGGGAGCCGCAGGCACAAACCTCGAGTGGTCCACCTGCAATACTCAAGATTTCACTCAATATGTTGGTCCCAAAACATAAGAAAAGAGGAGGGGGAAAGGAGGTACTCACCAGGAGACTTTTTCATCATAAATGAACTGTGAAGAGAAGAAAAAGAAAAGTTAGATCCACAAGGCAACCCTTGAAGACTGCATGTTGTCCACTCTTGGCGCTGGATAGCCCAGGCGCCATTGAGGAGACCGCCTCTGAACTCTAGCTCAGGTCTTGTGAACTAGTGTGGCTAGGAGCAGGTGGTGTTGGCCGACTGGAGTCAGGCACAAGGACAAGCATCCGCCATCTCTGCCCGACACTGGAGTGCCAGGGAATGTGACCACCTGCTTCTGCAAAGGTGAGTTCACTGAAGCTAGCAGCCTCTGCACATTTCTGGAAGGTTCTGAAGGAGCTCAGCAGCGGACAATTCCACCCACAAGACGTGTTGTCACTTGGGGTTTCTGCCCATCTACATGCAATGTGCAGCAATCACCTTTACAATGTTTTTAGAAACTATTATTGATTTTAAAGTCAAAGTTACACACACACACACACACACACACACACACACACACACACACACACTTCACTCCCCAGGCGGTTACAAAGGCCCGGGTGGAGCCAGGCCAAAGCCAGGAGCAGGGAGGTTCTTCTGGGTCGCAGGGATCTAATCACCCAGGCCATCTTGTGCTGCTTTATTCCCCAGGCACATTAGCAGGGAGCTGGATCTGAGGCGGAGCAGCTGTGACTCAAACAGATGTCCCTATTAGATGCATGTACTACAGGTGGCGGCGTTAGGCACTGTGTCACGATGGCGGCCCTTGCTCTCATGGTTGTCCTGCAAGCACTAAGACTTGTAGACAGTATTTTCTTATGATGGATTTATTGTTTTGTTCCCTTAAAGGAATCATTCGAAGGACATTCTCCTCCCACAGCCTGCTAAGGCGACTGAAGGTCCTGGCTGGGCGTGACCGGCTGCTCCCACCCTGGGCCTCAGGCCTGCCCTCTTACTAAGGTAGGGGGCAGCGAGGGTCAGGAGCAGTGAAAGGCTCCAGGCGCCCCAGTGCTATTTCCCTCCTGATGAGCAGGGACTGAGAGAACACACACAGCAGAGGAAGAGCAGAGAGAACACATACTTTATTCACTCTGTCATCCGCAGACCACTTGAAAGAACTGACTGTTTACGGCAAAGAAGCCGATGCCATTCTGACATGCCCAGGGAAACTGAGTCACAGAGAACAGAAACCATTTGTTTTTTTGGGGGTTGCTCCGTTTGTGGTGGAAATGGTGCTAAAACTGAGCCCCAGTTCTTGATTTTAAAAAATGTATTTTGTAGACTGAGTGAGAATGGGTTCATTTCCCCGTTGTGTGCAATGCCTGGGATGAGGAAGCAGGGACCAAGAACTCCATCCAGTGTGGGAAGCCAAGGAACCCAGTGACAAGCCATCACTGCTGCCTGCCAGGGTCTTCAGGAGTGAGAAGCTGAGGCAGGAATCAGAGGCAGGAAGCAGACACAGGTACCCTCCAGCGTGGGATGCGGGTGTCTTCATTGCTAGGGCAAGGCCCAGGTCAGCTTTGACGCACTTTGTATGGCACAGATGGCATGTTGTTGAAGCCTGAAGGGCACAGTTCCCTTTACTCCAGGAGACAGCTCAGGAGATGCTACTCTGTGCCCTGGCATTGGCTCTGTGACCTCTCAGCAAGGGTGGGGACCACTGGAGATGCACAGGACAGCTTGGGCATCGGGTGCCACACTAGAGGTGGTCCATGCACCCACCACCGGGGTATGGGTCACAGGACATGAGAGACTGTCTCCAGCTATCCTGCATGTTCAAAGTCAAGGGCGAGTGGAGGAGCCGTGTTGCTTGGTAAATCTGCCCTAGGTCATCACTGAAAATAGATCATGGCTTCTCTGTTTCCCTGACACTCACCTTCACGGTCACATTCAACAAGCTGCCATCGGATGGGGATGGTGAACCAGGCTGGGAGGAGAAGTGAAGGAAGCCAAGGCAAAGAATCTCCTGATGCAGCTGGCAAGCTGTTTTGCATAATCACCCGTTTTAAAATTTTTATCACAAAATCCTGGAGCAGACGGCCGTATTTTGAATTGGGAACCATTTCCTATTAATTGAAGTTCATTCAAGTGTGAGTCCTAGTACGGGCTGGAACAATCAATCCACAGCTACTTATGAGTACACACGCTCCTGGGGCCTTCCCGGAGTTTATTAGGCCAGGCCAATTGAATTTGCCTCTATCAGGGAACGGTGCTAACGCAACACTGATACTGTATGAGAGCAGCTTTTGTTCTGTGCTGTGTCTCCTCTGAAGGGGACACCGGGCCTGTCGGGGCCCTCAGGAGTTCTCTCACCTGGGAAGAAAGTTCTCGTCCATGTACATTCTAGGAATGAATTCTGGGACGAATCCAACTTCCACTCTCGATCCTTCCAACAGATACAGCAAAGAAAAGCAAGAGAACTGGCTCAATTGCACGAAAGACTCCAAATCCAGGACGCAATTGACTTGGAATGCCATTTAGCTGGAGAAATCACGGGCAAACTTGGGTGAGGCTGGATAGGACAGGCCACTGGGGACAGAGCATCCCGAGCTTGATGTCAGCAGAGGTTGGGCAACTGGGACAGGCAGGTGACTCTGCTTTGAGTCCTCATAGATGGTAGGGGCTGGCGATGTCTGCACACTGGAGGCAGCTTCTGGTCTTTTCGCCCGGCACACTATGGTGGATGAGGAAGAGGAGGAAGCGAGGAAAGGGGCAGGAAAAGGCCCCCTCAAAGCCAGGCCCCCTAGTTTTTCAGGTCTTATGAGTAGAAGTAGTTTGCTTTCTCCTCCTCAGAGGACTGTGCTGGAGAAATGAAAGGATCAGGACTGAACCACGACCTGGGTGAAGGGCTGGCACCAGGAGATCGTGTGCAAACAGGGTTCACCTTGAGTGGGCATCGGTGCAGTGAGTACATGAACTACAAGCACTGATTGGAGCAACTTGGACGACAAGCAGTTGGGTGACCCTTCAGAAGACAGAGAAAATGAGGAGGCCAGCACAGAAGCAGGGCATTCCTTGTGGAGGGCAGCATGGTGGATGGTCCCTGGGAGCAGCAGGGCCATCTTGTCCAAAATGTTGAGTGGCAGGCCTGGGCGCTGCTTTCCCTTGAGGCATGGGTTGATAAGTCCTTACAAATTGGATTTGCTCTGAGTCCCAAGACAGGTGTGGCACATCTCTCTGCATTTTCATCCTTCAGCAGTGAGTCAAAGACAACATTCACCACCCCTTCCAGTGTAAATAAAATTTGAAATAATTGGTGCTGAACCTAGGAACTACACTTCCAGTTTTACAAAGCTGCCACAAGGTGGCACTCACTGTCCAGCCCTCTGTCCAAGTCACCCTGCAAGGCAGTGAAGTGCAGGAGCCCTTGGTCAGTTTTCACAGCTCCATCAGGTCTCCTGGGACACCCCAGATGACTCCTACGGAAGGGCCCGTCAGCCCCTCCCACATCTTCCGTGGTGTTTCCCTGGGCAGTACCTGCCTGGGACATTTCAGAGATGTCTCAAAGATGAGAGTGATGTTGACCCTTGACCCTTGTGGCCTCCAGGAGTGAACTGTCCCCAGCTGGATTTTGAAAACAGGTCTTGTGCAGGCAAGCTCCTCGTTCTGTGTTCTGCTGACTGTGTCTGGGGGCTGGCACTGGGGCCAGCTGAGGGATCCACGTGTCAAGTCAACCACACCTGTGTGTGGTTCCCCACCCTGTGGCAGCCAAGTATCATGCAGTTGGGTGAAGCATGAGCAAACAGGAAGGCATGGGACAAAGCCCTCATTTCCTGCAGGTTTTGGGCGACTGCTGGGTGCCATGGAAACAAGCTTGTCAGTCATGCTGTCTGTTGGAGTCCTCCCAGGCCACGTGGCTTACATCAGGCAGGTGAACCCTCCATGTCGGAGCTTCCCAGGCACCTGCCTGCTCATGACCAGGCTGCCCTGGGACAGCGGGGAGGAGGGGCTACTTTCTCCACGCAGTGGCCATGAGACTGGCAGCGGCTGCACTGAAATGGAGATTTCCTGGCTGTCTGTATCCTCATCGTTGTCACCGTGACAACTGGAAGACATCAACACTCCATCCCTCTTCTTCCCTGGCCGTCAGGGGCCACGCCCCTCTGTGGACTCTGCTCACTCAGCATTGTGGGGATTCCCTCGGCTGACTGGCAATGGGAGCCCCTGGGAGCCTCAGGGAGCAGGTGATTTCTGTGAGGCTGTGCCGCTTCAGCTGTGGGGGACAGTTCAGGTGGTGTTCTGTCAGGTGCACTGATGTGATTTTTCTGTAGGGTTGACTGCATTTCTGTGTCAGGATGCCGAGCAGGTCAGCCACATGGTGTCAGTGGCTGCAGGGGGATCCAAAACAGAGATGACCTGGAGAGGCAGGGGCTGAGCAGGGGTGGGCATGCCCTCTGGACATGTACTCTCTGAAAGGTTTATTTGAGATGGAGAGAGAGAGAAAGAGAGAGAAAGAGAGGGAGAGAGATCTTTCATCTCCTGGTTTACTCCCCAAATGCCTGCAACAGACAATTGCTGAGTGAGGCTAAAGGCAGAAGCCAGGAACTCCATCTAAATACCCTACATGGGGCAGACAAGAACCCAAGTACTGTGGCTTTTATTCACCGCCTCCCAAGTATATTAGCAAGCAGCTGGACGACTTAAACCAGGCAGCCTGCTGTGTGATGCAATAATATCAAGCCGTGGCTTAAACCACTGCACCCCACGGCCTGTCCCTCCTCTAAGTCAAGCCAGGCTGTGGGGAAACAATAGAAAGGATGATGAACTTAGGACGTAGGAGATGAGGCCTGGTGAGCCACAGCCGCCTGCTGGAGAGGGTACAAAAAACACCTCGCCACCATTCAAGCATCTCAGTAACAGCTCCAAGTTGGATTTCTTGGCAAAGACAAGAAGCCGCTGTGTACCTGCCCACCCGAGCCACTGTCCTGTTCAGGGAGAAGCACCAAGATGGCCCCAATGTTACCAGGGCCAAGGGTCGCTTGCCTAGGAAGGGGCAAGAGGCACAGCCCCAATGCTTCCTGGCTTTATCATTGCTGAGGACAACGTGCTGGT